TCATCATCATCATCATCATCATCATCATCATCATCATCATCATCATCATCATCCTCATCTTCATCATCACCTTGCTTCTAATCGCATCCCCCCTATTTTCTCCTTGTGTACGCCCCTACCCCTGTTATATTCACCCTCACACCTCTCACTCATTTCACTATCTCTATATTTTTCCCATTCCCTTTTCTTCCTCCCCCCCTCTCCATTGCCTCTCATTATCCTTCCCTACTCCCCCCACCCCAACCTCTCACCTCCTCTCCCCCACAGTTCTCTTTTCCTTATTTCCTTCCCCTCCCCCCACCTCTCTCTCTCTCTCTCTCTCTCTCTCTCTCTCTCTCTCTCTCTCTCTCTCATTGGTGTGGTTTGCTTCTTCTTTCCTATCAAACATCTATCATCTTTATCTTCCCTCCTTTTTTCGTGTTTGTTACTCTCTTGTAACACCTTTAATCTTCGGCACTTATATGACCTTATCGTGTTGCAAGTGCCTTAAAACACTCACTAAAACTAAACTCTCTCTCTCTCTCTCCCCCCCCCTCTCTCTCTCTCTCTCTCTCTCTCTCTCCCCTCTCTCTCCTCTTTCTCTGCTCCCCTCTCTCTCCTCTTTCTCTGCTCCCCTCCTCTCCACTACCGTTCTCTTTTCTTTATTTCCTATCCCCGCCCCTCCCACCCACCACCACACCACTCTTTTCTTTTCCCCCAGTCTCGATGAACTTCCTCCAGCTGTACTCTGTGTGGGAGGCAGCCTGCACCGATCGTATGGTGCACAGAGACTGTCTGATGGACGCTGCCGCCTCAAGATGGGGGATTGGTTACTGCTTTGTGAAGAACATGCTCAAAGGAGGTGAGGGAGGAGCAGGGGGAGGAGAAAGAGGAGGAGGAGAGGGAGAGAGGGAGAGAAAGAGAGAGAAAGGGGGAGGGGGGAGAAAGAGAGAGAGAGAGAGAGAGAGAGAGAGAGAGAGAGAGAGAGAGAGAGAGGACGAGGGGGTGGGTGGTGGAGTGAGAGAGATGGGTAGAAGGAGATAGACAGACAGGTAGATAGATAGAAAGAGAGATAGATAGATAGATAGATAGATAGATAGATAGATAGATAGATAGATAGATAGATAGATAGATAGACACAAACACACGCACGCACGCACACACAGAGATAGATAGAGAGAGAGAGAGAGAGAGAGAGAGAGAGAGAGAGAGAGAGAGAGAGAGTGAGTGAGAGAAAGAGAGAGAGAGAAAGAGAGAGAGAGAGAGAGAGAGAGAGGGAGAGAGAGAGAGAGAGAAAGAGAGCGTTGCGCCACCGAAGTTAAACATCACCTGCAAGTCATGCAAGTGGTTTACGTAAGTAAATTTATCTCTTCCAGCCTCTGTGACCTCAAGGTGACGAGCGTAGAAGCAAACATCTTTCTCTTGTTTGTTTGTATCGCCTGTTTCATGGTTATACATACTATGTTTGTCTTATGTTTCTCAGACACCTTCTATCCATATTTTCCGTAGCCTGCCCCTTCCTCTGTATCAGTTTGATCTCTGGTTGTAAGTTCTTGGTTATCGATTAGCAGCCTTGACAGCTGATTCAATGTCCAACCATTTTTCAAATAAATGCAAGGTAGATAACTTAATACCTAATGAAGAAGTAAAGTAAGCGGAGTTATTTCCCCTAACATTGCTATCGCGGAGAACAAACATGTATTAATATTATAATATTATGCAACGTGGAATGACAATGTTACAAAAAACTGGGGAAAACAAAATGTTTTGATAGAAATAAAAACCAAACTATCTAGACAGGCGACAGTCTTACACAGAGTCATCAAACTGTAAAAAATATACAAGGCAGGAAATGAGAAGTGGCCATTGAACAGCTGATTGTCTTATAGATCTACAGGTGACAGAGCAGATTCGATTAAATTACAAAGCCACGCTTCTTTAAATAAAACATGTTTATACTTAGAAAATGTAACTGTAGGTCTAGCTGTTTTATACATATCGACACAATTTAGGCCTTATTTTAGAAGACTGGCTGCTACGTCCGTGTCTGTCAAGGCCAACGGAGGCTAAAAGGGACACAACGTCCCCGCAACCAGATGGAGATACTCTATAAAAACATCTTTACACAAGAATCGAACCCATATCTTCTGCAGGCATTGGTAAGTGCTTAACCGCTACACCACAGTTTGTCAGTCTCCTCACACACGTACATGTACAATGGAAGGTCTCTTAGACGGCCGCTCATTGTCGAGGAGAAAAGTGGTTGTTTTAAACAGGTGGACGTCTTGGGGAATGCTTTTATATAGCATGTGTTTCCATATTCTGGCATATTAGCCTTTTGTCCTACTCTCTCGTTCTCTCTCTCTCTCTCTCTCTCTCTCTCTCTCTCTCTCTCTCTCTCTCTCTCTCTCTTTCTCTCCCCCTCTTTCTCTCTGTCACTCTCGCCCTCTCTCTCAACGGAAAGCGAATGTCTAAATCAGATATGCACCTCTTTATCGAACAAAAAAAGAAGCCAGAAATTTAATAGTGCTACCGTCTTTAGAAGCGTACTCTTGCATATAGCTCTCCGTTCACGATTGATGAGGGAGATGGAAAAAAGCGACGCATAGGAGGAGAGAGTAGGATGCACTCAGCTGATCATACAACGATGACGAGATACAGAATAGGATATAAGAGTGAGATATTCAGCACCTGTATAAGATATGAGAAATATAGTAGAATTTAAAGAAAGCAGAGACGGTGATCAATAGTAAT